CGGTTCAACGAAAATTGCTACAACTGCGGGAAAGCTAGACACAAATCTACAGATTGTCGTGCTCCGAAGAAAGACAAGAAGAAGGGTCAAGCAGACATTGTTGAAAAGCACGAAGATGTTGATGACCTGTGTGCTATGCTTTCTGAATGCAACCTAGTGGAAATCATAAGAAGTGGTGGATTGATTCTGGAGCCACTCACCATGTTTTTGCCGTTAGAGAAGCGTTTGCTACATATGCTCCCGTTGAACCCAAAGAGACGCTTTCTATGGGAAATTCTGCAATGGCCAAAATTAAAGGATGTGGGAAGATATTTCTGAAAATGACTTCTGGCAAGGTGGTGACTCTAAACAATGTCCTTCATGTTCCCGAGATTAGAAAGAACTTAGTCTCTGTTGGACTTCTTGTTAAAAAAGGGTTTAAATGTGTCTTTGCATCTGATAAGGTTGTAATAAGTAAGAATGAAATGTTTGTAGGAAAAGGTTACTTCACTGAGGGCCTTTTCAAGCTGAATGTATTGGTTGTTGAGAATAATAATAAAATTTCAGCTTCTTCTTACTTGCTTGAGTCAAATGATTTATGGCATATACGTTTGGGTTATGTAAATTATAAAACCTTGCGTAAAATGATTAACTTGGAAGTATTGCCTAAGTTTGAATGCGACAAATCAAAATGTCAGATATGTGTGGAATCTAAATATGTTAAACATCCTTATAAGTCAGTTGAAAGGAATTCATATCCTTTAGACTTAATTCATACTGATATTTGTGACATGAAGTCAATACCATCTCGTGGTGGAAAGAAGTATTTCATTACTTTTATTAACGACAATACTTGATATTGCTATATTTACTTACTTAATAGTAAAGATGAAGTAATAGACGCATTCAAGCAATACAAAAATAAAGTTGAAACGCAACTTAACAAGAAAATTAAAATGATAAGAAGTGACAGGGGTGGTGAATATGAATCTCTTTTGAAGAAATATGTTTAGAATATGGAATTATTCATCAAACAACGGCCCCCTACACGCCCCAATCCAATGGGATTGCAGAAAGAAAGAATCGTTTATTAAGGAGATGATGAACGCATTGTTGATAAGTTTTGGTTTGCCATAGAACTTGTTGGGGGAAGCCGTTCTTACGGCTAACTGAATACTAAATCAAGTACCCCATAGCAAAACACAATCCATTCAATATGAAAAATAGAAAGGAAGGAAGCCCAACTTGAATTATTTTAAAGTGTGGGGGTGTTTGGAAAAAGTGAAAGTTCCTAAACCCAAATGAGTAAAAATAGGGCCGAAAACCGTTGATTGTGTTTTTATAGGATATGCGACCAATAGTAAAGCATATCGATTTCTGGTTCATAAATCAGAAAGTCCCGACATTCATAGTAATACGGGTATAGAATCAGATAATGCCGAGTTCTTTAAAAATATATATCCGTATAAAAAGGAATGTGAGTCGATTGGTGAAGGATCTAAACGACCTCGGGAAGAAACAAAAGAAAGTACATTTAATTGGGAGGATCCTAGATGTAGTAAACGTCAAAAAACGTCTACTTCATTTGGACCAGATTTTGTGACTTTCTTATTGGAAAATGATCCTCGAACATTTAAAGAAGCTATGTCTTCTTCGGAATCATTATTTTGGAAAGAGGCAGTCAATAGTGAAATAGAATCCTTATTGAACAGCCATACATGGGAATTGGTTGATCTTTCTCCTGGAAATAAACCTTTGGGTTCTACATGGATTTTTAAGAGGAAAATGAAAGATGATGGCACTGTCGATAAATTTAAGGCAAGACTTGTAGTCAAAGGGTATAGACAATGAGAAGGTCTTGAATACTTTGATACATACTCTTCAGTTACAAGAATCACGTCCATACGAATGTTAGTAGCATTAGCTGCAGTTTATGGTCTTGAAATTCATCAAATGGACGTTAAGACGGCCTTCTTAAATAGAAATTTGGAGGAAGAAATCTACATGGAACAACCTGAATGGTTTGTGGTTCCAGGTAAAGAAAATAAGGTATGTAGACTTGTTAAGTCCCTTTACAGACTAAAAAAAACACCCAAACAATGGCATGTGAAATTTGACCAAACAATATTGTCAAATGATTTTAAGATAAATGAATGTGATATGTGTGTATATTAAAAATGTTCCAATTCACATAGTCATTCTTTGCTTATATGTGGATGATATATTGATAATGAGTAATGACAATGCCAACATAAATGCGACTAAGCGTATGCTAACTAGCAAGTTTGATATGAAGGACTTGGGAGTTGCTGATTTAATTCTGGGGATTAAGATCCATAAGACTACTCAAGGTCTGGCATTGTCACAATCTCATTATGTTAAGACAGTACTTGGAAAATTCAAGCACTTAGGGTTTAAAGTTGCAAAGACTCCAGTTGACATGAATCTTGCATTAGCAAAGAACAAAGGCCAAAACATATCACAATTGGATTATGCTCGTGTGTTGGGATGCTTAATGTATATCATGAATTGTACACGACCAGATATAGCTTGTGCTATAAGTAAATTGAGTCGATACACGAGCAATCCAGGTCAATCTCATTGGATGGCAATGAAACGAGTTTCGGGATATTTAGAACATACCCAGGACTTTGCTTTGCACTACAGTAAATATCCTGCGGTGATTGAGGGTATTGTGATGCAAATTGGATCACCGGTTCAACTGATTCTAAGTCCACAAGTGGATATGTATTCACTATTGGTGGAGGAGCAGTATCTTGGAAGTCGTCCAAACAAACTTGTATTGCCCGCTCTACAATGGAGGCTGAGTTCATAACCTTAGATAAAGCCGGTGAGAAGCTGAATGGCTCCAGAATTTCTTGGAAGACATTCCATTTTGGCCCAAACCATTGGCACCAATATGCATACATTGCGATAGTCAAGCGGCAATTGGAAGGGCTAGGAGCGTTATGTATAACGGTAAATCTCGTCATATATGACGAAGACATAAAACCGTTAGGCAACTACTCTCTAGAGGAATATCACAATTGACTACGTAAAGTCAAGTGATAATGTGTCGGATCCACTTACAAAAGGCCTAACTAGAGAGGTAGTTAGAAATCATCGAGGGGAATGGGACTATGGTCGAGAAAAAGTCATTGTGGCGGTAACTCTACCTAGAAGACTGAAGATCCCAATATCTAGGTTCAAAGAGATCAAACAAAGTCATTAATGACGGTTCAACATTGTCAACTAAAATTTTGGTCCATTCTCGTGATGAGACAATGTTCAGTACTAAGGATAAATCATTAAGTCTTTTTAATGATTTCTAAATTTGATACGGGATATATCAAATAGTGTATCTACGGGATGACACATTTAGGAATCACCTATGTAAGTGTGGAGTGTTAGCCGCTTCAAGGAGAATTTTGTAAGGCCAGTTCTCTACACACTTATGAAACCAGGCGATATTCATGGCTGAAACGAACACAACAATGAGAACCAAAGACAGTTAAGGGTTGATTGTGTGACTTATGGTTGTCTAGGCATACACCAAAGTTCGACGGTTCAAAGATATCAAATCTACCGATTGACCGAGTATATCCGACATAAGTTCACTACGGAAAGTTCAAAGGGACACCTACTTATCCAGATGCGATTAATCCATGCTTGCGAATCAGACAGTTTTTCATGCATATTTCCGTGATATGTCCATTCCCCATTCATGTGGGAGATTTATTGTTGAGTTTTTATGCTAAAATAGGCTTAAAAGAGGATGAATGGGAAATGGAGGGAAAATGAAAATTTTAAGTTTCCCTACTTGACAATGGGACATTGTCCCATATTGGAAGAGGAAAATATTTTTGATGGGTATATATACAATTGCTCTTCTTATAGATCTTAAAGAGTTAAGAAGAAGGCAAGCCTCGCGCCGTCGTCGTCGTCGCTCGGCACGACTTCGGCTTCGGATTCGGATTTGGATTCGGAGTCGGATTTGGTCAAATGATCTATTGATTGATTAATTTTTTGGACCAAATTTATTTGTTAATAGTAAAGATTAACGTAATCCGTATCTGTAACGAAAGATTAATAATCCAAATTATCCGTTTCATTGACTGTCCGTTTTTTGTAAAGGAAAATGTTTCCTCTACCCGTTTTAATTTGCGTAAATGGTCATTTACGTTATGGCCGTTTTACGTAACTGACCTATGAAGAGTTACAACTCTTCATTTGAACTCAGCAGGTTGGGGCTATAAATTGTAGTCCATTCTCTCAGATTTTACATACGAATTTCTGAGTTCCCCTCCTTCCTTCTGCATTGTTTTAACTGAAAAGAAAGCAACAGTAAATGTGATTTGCTACCGATCTTTGTGTTTGCTGAAACACTGAGATTTGAAGTACCGCTGCACCAGTGTGTAATTCGTTCTATCCTGGGAGGAAATAATCCACAACATTGGGTACTAGGAGAGGATTAAATTCGTTAAGGAAACAGTGTAAATTCAGTGGGCTCGAATTAAATTTTGTTTCTGTTTTTCATTTCTGTTTATACGTTATTTTATATTCTCCAAAATTATTTTTACAAATACAGGATACTACCAATTACACACGGCATGGTTGGTGTAATTAGATTTAATTTAACCAGGTAATGCTTTTTTTTTTTCCTTGTTACTTTTAACTTTTTCACTCTCTTACTGGAGTTGGTGAATGATGGCAATGATAATTTGACAACCATCGAGCACTCTATGTTTTATTCTTTAATATTTTTTAATGAAACCAAGCAAGAATCTTTTTTTGTTTCCTAAAATGGTTTAGAACGAATATTCAGAAAATTTTAACTTTTTCTTTTTGTGTAAAACATTTATAGTTGACTCAGATTTTTTATAATGTTTAACTATATCTTTGAATAAGTTAAAAAATCTTTCAGTAATATATAAAAAACTATTTACCGGGCTTAGCCATAAAGTCTTATTTACATCCTGTTCTGGTAAAATAGTAAAACAGCATACTCCCTTCATAAAACAAAGCCAAAAATTAGATTTTTTTGGTGGTGTGGTTAGAATCTTTGGAAATACTTGGACGAGGTAATATACAAAATTGGCAGACAGGTATTTCAGTTCAATCCTTCAATCCAATCTAACAAACGAATGCTTGACAGTGATTTCTAGCTCAAATACACAAGTTATATTCACCTTTATCAATTTTTCATCCACGAATTCGAACTTCACATCCGGGAATTCAACTTCGAGCTTCAAAGCTCGTTCGTGAATCGGTGAGACAGTTGCAGAGCAGTGGGCAGGTCGCCGCCGGTGGAACCATTTCCGGCACCATTGTATGCGAAGCAGAAGTTTCACCAAAAATTGTCGAAGTGTTGGCTAAAGCAAAGCAGAATTTTTCTGCTGTGTGCAAAGCAGAAGTGTCAGCGGCAACTGTGTAAGGAAACAAGGATTAAAGCCGGTGGAGGTATACTTGTTTATTTTTTCTGGTCATATACATAAATTACACATTGATTATACATATATAATACATAAATTATGCCTACATTATACCTCCACCGGCTATTTCTAGTTCAAGTTGGGTATATTCCCTTTTATTTTTCTACTACATGTCCCAGAGCACAGCCCTAGTCCAACAGTATATAGAGCTTTGCGCATTCTGTCTACATTCAATAGCTATGTTTTATCTCTTTGCTCTATTAAGAAACTCCAACAGAAAGGAATATCTCTCAGGCCTGTGAATTTGTGCTTATTTTTTACAAACCGATTTTGACATTGCAGTTCACTTGGATGACCAAGTATTTAGTAGAGGGCACGACGACAATGTATAACATATCAGCAAGTATCGAGATGGATCTGCATCGGAGCAAAGGAAGATCAGCAAGTGAGACAAAACTACTTCTCCACTCACGTAGTAGGATTGTGTCACCTATACCACTGAACCTTGTATAGGTAGAAGTTGTACTAAAGCATTGCTCAAGTCAGTATTTTGTTTAAATCATCTGAAAACTTCAAAAGTTGTTTAGTACTACCTTTCCTTAGTCTTATGAGATGGCGTGGCTACTTGTTTTCTAACATATGAGAGCTTAAAGAAAGACATTAGGGTGTCGGTTGGTTGTCGTAAAACAAGAAATACCAATACTTTATGCACTCTTCTGCAAGAAGTGTGTGTCATTAGATTCACCTATCCAAAAATTTAAAGATGAAGTGCCAAAGCTGATCTATTTCATTTGCAAATAAGCATTCCCCTAAAAGATGTTAAGAAAATTGATAGTATTATTTATTTTTCCAATGTTCTGATTTAGAAGGAATTCCGCGACAATTTTAGAGGCTAAGCTCTTATATTATAATCCAGGCTTTTTGCAGCTTTGTAGTCCTTTCCTTAGTAAAGCACCATAATATTATTGACAATTCATTCCAGTGCTAGATATAAGTTCAAGAGTTATATTCTTAACGATACGGGATCCACCTGCTTTTGTCTTTCTCATTTACAGCAGCATAATAGATTCATGTCCTTACAAAATCCTGCAACATATTCTGCTGATGCACTAGTTTCACATAGTAGTGAAATACATTTTGGCAGAAGATATTTCTTTTGGTCATAAAGTTTCCTTTCAAAGTTGATACTGCTCCATTTGTCAAAGGCCATTATCAAAACAGAACTTGAACTACCACATTCTTTCATTGCTCAAATGCACAATGGAAACCCTACTTTACTCCTCATTTCTAAATTGGAAGGAGATTCCTCCTGAATATTTTTTTGTGTTTTCAGCATCACAATGTCTGGCTTGGTCATCTACACGCAAATGTATAAGCATAAGACTCGTACAAGTGGCTTTTAGTAGATAATCTTCTACTACTTTTTGTTGGCTTCAGAAAATTCAGATGCATAGAGAGTTCAGGTACTCAAGGGAATTATTACATAAAAATCTGATAGTCAGTCATAGGCACAATTTAGCAGCAGACTGTGCATCTACTTTCCAATTCTATCAATGTCTTAGACAATCTGCTTGTGTTTTAATATGCTCATGATGTTGGTTTGTTTTACTTAAACCAAGATTGAATTCAAACGGGGATATACCTCTCCAAATGGATTTGATAACTTCCCAAGTAAAGTGATTTAAGCCAAGTGTAAGGATGTTTTGTCATACATTCGAAATCATCAATTATCCTATCCAAGTAGAATACATCAGGATGATTAATTGTTCACAGAAAAATACGTAACTTTATCATGAAATGACCATTCAAAGTACCAAACAATTAACGACCATGTCAAATTATAAATTGACAGCTTCCTTATTACTTGTAGAAAGACAAAATTAATCTCATTTACAATCTTGAATAACCTTTGAAGGATCTATGAAAAAACACAAACAAAGATACCATGCCCACGCCCGTGCATAGCATGGGCACTCCCATCTAGTTACTAAAGAAATCTGATGCAGCACTTCAGTATTTCCTACAAGAAATGGAATAGATCTACACATCAAGAACAAATGCAAACATTAACAACTATTTGTTGCTTATTTCTTTTTGGAATGTGGAAAGAATGACGAAAAATGATTTATACCCTTGCTGTCTACATGATGAACTTGATATCTGGATTTCTTATTGACTTGAGCCACATATCTGCCATTACACGTGATGATATGCTCCATAGCAAATGTTGGCCTTTTACTGCTGAACCTTTCTTTACTTTCTTCCCCATTTTACCAAGTCCATAAGCCACCAGCCACTGCATTGCAGTCAATCTCTGCTTTTCTGTGTCCCATGCATTCTTCTTTTCTCCGCTTCCAACTCTCAATCCGCCAATCGCTAAACATGCTATTTTAAACTTCTTTTCCTCGTCGATGTCATTAGTTTTCTCATCGATATGAACTGCTTGAATCAGTGCTATCATAGGTCCTCCAACTGCCTCGAACTGCCTCAATGGATCCCTCAGTTGAAGCACAACAGATATCACTACATTATCGTTTTTGTCATCTTTTTCCCAATCTTCAAGAGGAACTGCGGACTCCAGTGAATGACCATGATCATCTTTCTTGTTTGCTAAATGTGGGGAAACGTCAAAAGGGGCCTCTTCTTCCGCGATATCTGCCTGAATTTTCAGGGCTTCGATTGTCATTGCCTCCATTTTCTGCAGTGTGAATGCAAGAATTTCGTCCACTGTCAACGGTTCATCACTGATATTCCAAATCCCTGTAGAAATCCTCTCATTTCGGCTTGTGTTCATCGCTGTTGCCATCGATTTCACTGCTGCAACTGTACGAGCAGCAGTTGAGCTGGCACCTACTTCTTTGTTCCTCCCTTGAATAATAGCTGAAGCAATACCTTCAAAAGCTATCTGCTCTGCTGTCTTACCCACGAGTTCTTCCATTGGCATCATCGATAAGATCTTGGATGTAAATTCTTCCATCCCAATAGCTGCCATCCTCTGAAATATTTCAAATCCATTCATAGACGACAAAATTGATGGAAAAACAAATGGTTTTGATATCTGCATTGCAAGTTTTGGGGTGTCTTTTCTAGAAACAACAGTATTAAGAGGATTCATGGCCGCCAAGAAACCTCCGTTCCTTGTTTGAACTACACAACCCAACCCTTTTCCAAGATCTGGTATAAATATGACTGATTCTCTCTTTTTGCTATTTTCATCTCCTCCTTGCAGCTTTAATGTGGGGGTTTCTTGTTGATCCGTCTTGAACTGATTAGCGCCACCTGAATCTTCGAGCATCTGAAGAAATTCCCTTGTCACATTTTCCTCATCTGCATCCAACCTTTGCGATTCAGAGTCGTCATCCTCTGTCTTGACTTGATTTTCATTTTTAAACATGGATTCAAGAGCTTTGATTTGCTGAGCAATGGAATCAAGTTCTGACAATCTAGTCAGATGGTGCTGATCATGCACAATCTCCTTAACAACCTCATGACTTGATACCGATCTTTTATCAGAATTTCCTTCAGATTGCTCTTCTTCTTCTTCTTCTTCTGCTTCTTCCTCTTCTTCTTTTACTTCCACTTCTTTTTTAGCTTCATCTTTATCTTGAATTTCAACTCCTTTGTCCACAACATCAAACTCCGGGAGATCAAGATCCTCTGCTTTTGACTCTGGTTCCTTTTCAGGCTCAGCATCTAGATTCAGCTCATCAATTCCTTGAAGATTTGGTGTTGTTCCTGTTTGTGAAGGAGTCCAATTAGATGAACTTAGGCTAGTCATTCTTGGACTTGGGACACTAAAAGATGTTTTGGATTGCTTTCGAGCAAAAGATGATGATGACGACGACGAATAGTTCGCATTTTTCCCTGTCTTTTGCCCCTCAGCCTGGCTGTAAATTCCAATTCCACCATCTTTCTCCATGATCTGAAATCCCAATTTGAGAACTAGCTCTCCCCCCTTGGCCTTCCCTAAAAGAGGATAACTCGTATCCCATTGGCGAATTCGGTTGCCTTCAAAGCTCTTTTCTATAGACTCCTGAATCATTTCACTCAAATCCACTAAGTTCTTTCCAAAATCAAGCTCCTCTGCATCCACAGCAAACACATATATCAAAAATGGACGCGGCTCGAATTTAAAGCGACTTCCACTACTACCAGTAGTAGTAGCTGGGGTATAGTAAACATGACACCTAATGAAAAGAGTCTCTTCAAAATCAGCAGCTCCCTGTGAAACTCTGGATGGCATGGTTTGTACTGCTCCTTCTTTGGTTTCCTTTTTTCTAACACAAACTGATAGCCTAAGCCCGTTCATGGATGCAGGCAGTCCCTGAACCGTGACGATTTCAACTGAGAACAAACAGCTTAGCTTTTGCTTACCAATGTGAGCGAGAGCCCGAATTGGTTTCCAGTTCCATAGGCCTTTTTTCTCGGAGTTGGACTCGGCTTTGCTATCGAACTTCTTCAATGACTTGGTGCTGCTGCTCTGTTGGATAGTATTGTCCTCGCTCTCAATGTCCAGCTTTGGACGAGAACGCCATGGCGACAATGACATGCGCCTCGACCTTGGCTTAGGATTGATGACACTGTCATCATTTTTAGCACTGGTTATCGGATCATCAGCGATAGCAATTGGAGGGACAGATGTTCGAGGGAGGACAAGGGAGGCAGTTCTTCGGGTTGTACTAGTTGAAGAAGTGTTTGGCTGATAGAGTGTTTCACTCAGTGCTTCAAGTTCTTGTAATAACTGTGTATTGGAATTCCTTCTAGTATTTGTGATGTAATCAGCCATTGTAACGGAGCTGTGAGCAAACAGAAGAAAGAAAATGTTGGTAAAAGGCTTGCCAAAGTAAAGATGATTAGTGGCAAGTAGTTGAAGAGATATGAGGGCAGTTTGATCAGAGAGATGAGTTTGGATGAAGGTGAGAAGATTGATGTGGGCATTTGAGGACTGGAAAGTTTCTTGTATAAATTGTGAGTAGGATGTATTACTTGGTGCTTTTTGAACCAGGTATTTGCGTTAGTTTTGTATGTGAAGGATAAGGCAAGAACGTTTGTCTCTCTCTCTCTCTATTTGGCAACCCCCCTGCCCCACAGACAGTTGTCCCTTTTTGGTAAACAATACTAAATACGTCTACTATCACAACAATATTAAGAAAGGGCAGCTCGGTGCACTAAGATCCGGCTATGCGCAGAGTTTGGGGAAGGGCTGAACCACAAGGGTCTATTGTACGTAGTTTTATCCTACATTTCTGCAAGAAGCTATTTACATGGCTCGAACCCGTGGCCTCCAGATCACATGGCAATATTAACCAGTTCACAAAATAATACCATCTCTACTTACAATAATTAACCAGTGTCAAAAGTATATCATCTGCACAAAGTTTCAAATTCTTGAACTTGTTCGCAATAGGCCAAATAGTGTTCTACAATTCCAAATCAAAGTATATTTTAAAAAAACACCAAGTTGTCAAGAAAATAGTTTCTTTAAAATTACTACTATAAAATTTTCAGAACTTGTCTTTGACAGCAACAAAATTAAAATACATTTGCCTTGGATCTTAATGCAAGAGGAGATCAAACAGTTCCAAGCTGCTAGCCAAATTAGTTTAGATATCTTTGACAATGTTCATTGTATTAAAATGAAATCAAGGAATCAATGTCTATTTCCCATTCATTTTGAGAACTAGGAAGTTAAATATCTTCTAGAGTATTCTTGAAAAGGTTTTGTCAACCAATTACCTGAGGGAAAAAACTTACCCGCACCGGGTGTTTACACCATGTTAAGTTAAGTTAACCATAGAAAGAAACTAAGGTCTATTAGGAGTCCTATTTTAATAAATAATGAAATAAAAAACTGAAATCAATGGCCGGCCATAACGGCCACTTCCTCTTCTTCCTCAACTCCCCCCTCGCAACCCACTCCACCTCAAATTCTCTCTGCAAATCTCTCCAATAAATTTTTCGAAATTCCTAAAAATTAAAACCCCCTTTTCCTCTGAATTCATATATTTATTGCTGCAATGGCGACTCTTACTCCTGGAAGTCTACTAAATCTACTCCAATCCATGAACATCGGTGCACGTGTCACTGGCGACCACCGACGCCGTTCCTTCAAGTTATTGAAATCGTCCCAGCGCTTTCCACTTTCGATTCACTCTGGCCACACCACGACTTTTATGTACAACTCTCGGACTCACTCAACTCCACTTACGTCTCTCTCTCTAACCGCGACACTGATCTCATCCTCACTAACCAACTTCAGCTAGGTCAATTCGCTCATGTTGACCGGTTTACCTTTGATTCCCCTCCTGTTCCACGCGCTGTGAACCTCCGACCTATTGCCAGCCTCCATGGCTTCATCGTGTCGCCTGAACCCTTAGTTGCTAAAATTTCAAATGGGGGGTTTCTCATCCAGCCCGTTTCAGATTCGGATCCTATTTCTGTTTATTAGTTAGAAAATAGAAGAACAGAGTCGGGTTCTGGCCTGGTTCCAAATGATGGGAAGCAAAAAGTTAGGGTTAGAGAAGTACTTTCACCAAAAGAAAATGTTGAAATTAAGGACGATTTGAAGAAAAAATCTTCTAAAAATGTTCATCAAACGAGGAGATTTTCGTCTCCAGCATCAGCAAAGCAAAGGTCAGTATCAGCAGGGAAGAAGAATGTGGGGAGTGGTGAAAGGGATCCATCACCGACCGTTAAAGTGAAGAGATCGACATCACCAGTGCCATCAAAATGTGTTGTACCAAGTTTGGCGGCTGCGAAAGAAGAGAATAGGAGCACAGCAAAAGAAGCAGCTATTATAGTGCCGTCAAGGTACAGGCAGCCGTCGCCTACAACAACGAGAAGGCAAAGGAGTATATTAGTGGCGAGAAGGATGTCTTTGTCGCCTGGACGACGGTTGTCTGGTGCTGTTAAGGTTTCACCTACTATTGATTCGTCCGAGAAGAAGAAAATGGCTGCTATTGCTGCTGGAATTTCTAAAGTTTTTGAGGCGATTGTGGGGTCCGGTAAATCGAGTAGGAAGAATTGGGATAAAGGAACAACGAGTATTGGTGACTCTTTTGAACAAACAGAGAAGGTTTTCTCAAAGAAAAAATTGGATATTCGGGCAATTTTGAGAACTCAGGCTGCTATTTCGAGGCGTCTGAGTGATGTAAGTAGTCATGCTGATGATTTTGGAAGTGAAGGAAAGTAAAATCTGGTGTTGCTGAAAATTCCCCTGACACTGAAAAGCCTAACAATGTAGCTCCAGTCATTCAGTTCATGAGAAGAAGTGGACTGCTGGAAGTACATCACTAAATTCCGTGTCGTCTGAACTCACTAAGCTTGGAAAGGAGGCTATGCAAAGGAGAATAATTGCTTTAACAGCTGCAGTTGAAGCCTTGGAAGAGGCCCTTTCCGGTGAGACTGTCGTGAGAAATTTGAGTATGTTTTCAGATCTACGCTCAACATCCAACTCAAAAAACCGTCTACCAACTATTGATCGTTTCATGTCAATTTATGAAGATATAGTGAAATCAACAAATGTTGTTGAATCAATTACCAGCAATTGTGGTGTGCAAAAATCTAATGAAAATATGATAATGGAGCAACCAAAATCATCACTTCTTTGGGTGAAAGCTGCTCTGGCAACTGATCTTGAAATTGTCTCTCTTGTAACAAATCAGAACAGCGGAACTCAATCAGCATCATTGAAAAGCTCTCCAATATATCAATCATCAAAAACTTCTATTAAGAATCCTTCGATTGTTTTGGCAGTAACTGGAACTTGGACAAGAGGTAATGGGATTAATGAGACAGTAGAACTCGCAAAGAAGTTGCAATCTGAGATGCAAATGTGGTTCATCACTTTTGTTGAAGAGTCATTGGATGTGTAACGACCCGACCGGCCGTTTTGAGCTTTTGCACTTTGCTCACCAGTTCTCGGGCGTGACTAGCCCCGTGTGATGTATTATGACTTATGTAAATCGTTGGTTTTGGTTTTCAAGGGTAATCAGAATGAATTTGGAAGAATGCTTCCCAGTTTGAAGCTTGAAATTTGAAAGGTTTGACCAAGATTTGACTTGTTTGTATATGATCTCGGATCGAAATTTTTATGATTTGGTTAGCTCCGTCAGGTGATTTGGGACTTAGGAGCGTGATCGGAATGCATTTTGGAAGTCCGTGGAAGGTTTAGGCTTGAATTGGCGAAGTTGATATTTTGGCGATTTCCGGTTGGTAGGCGAGATTTTGATATAGGGGTCGGAATGGAATTCTGAGAGTTGCAGTAGCTTCGTTGTGTCATTTGGGATGTGTGTGCAAAAAATTCAGGTTATTCGGACGTGGTTTGGTTGGATTTTTGATCAAAAGCGGAATTCGGAAGATTTTAGAAACTTAGGCTTGAATCCTATGTGTATGGGATGATTTGATGTTGTTTGGGGTGTTTTGATGATTAGAACAAGTTTGTATAAGGTATTAGGATATGTTTGTGCTTTTGGTTGAGGTCCCGGGGGCCTCGGGGTGATTTCGGATGGCTAACGGAGAAGTTTGGATTTTGTTGCAGCTGCTAAATTTGCTACTTCTGGTATTTTCGCACCTGCGGATTGGGGACCGCAGGTGTGGCGCCGCATAAGCGGAGTTTTAGTCGCAGAAACGGTCAAGGAAGAGAAGCGTAGGAGCCGCAGATGTGGTTGGCTGACCGCACCTGCGATGGCGCAGGTGCGGCTATATAGTCGCAGATGCGATTTTTGGATTTTAAGTGAGAGCCGCAGAAGCGGCAATTTGACCGCAAATGCGGTACCGCAGGTGCGGTGGATTGACCGCAGATGCGGGGCCTGGTGTCATAAGTGAAATCCGTAGAAGCAGATGTTTTTCCGCAGAAGCGGAAGCGTAGATGCGCTTATGGGATCGCAGGTGCGGAAGTGCTGGGCAGAATGTATAAAAATGCCCCTTCGCGATTTTCAGTCTTTTGTTCACCATTTTTGTGCGGTTTTGGAGCTCCAAGCTGTGATTGCAAGAGGGGATCAAATGTATCCACAGAGGTAAGCTACTTGGGCTTTATACCTTGTGTTTATGGTGATTATATCATTGTTTAATCATGAAAATTTGTGGGAAATTAGGGGAAGAGTTGGAAATTTAGGGCTTGAAATTGGAGAGTGAATTTTTAGGATTTGAGTGACCATATGAGGTCGGATTTTGGTAAATTTGATATGTATGAACTTGTGAGAGGATGACGATTCCATTGATGTTAATTTTATCGGATTCCGAGACGTGGGTCCAGGGGTCGGGTTTTGGTAACTTCGGGATTTGTGCTAATTGTTGATTATTTTCGCTTGGGCTTCGTTCCCTTAGCCTATTTTGATGTCGTTCTGATTGTGGATAGATTCGACGCGAGTGGAGGCCGATTCGAGGGGCAAAGGCGTTGCGAGCTGGATTGCACATCGTAGTGCTATATTGAGGTGAGGCACGCGCTCGATAATGAGCGTGGGGTCGTGCACTATTGGGGATTGTGACTTGGTCCGTCTCGATTGATGATTTTTCCGCGTATTTGACTGAAATCTATTTGCTATCATTATTATTTGGGTTGAATGCCATATTTGGGTTTCGTGCCAATTATTTGAACCCTTCGGGGATTTTTGTTGATATTTCCTCACTGTTTTGACTTTATACTTGAACTCAGTCATGTTATTTTCCACTGTTTTCAAAACTCAGCCATGTTCACTCAGTTTTAATACTCAAATGATATTTAAATGATGTTTTGGGCTGAGAAACACTATTTTACTGTTGCCGAGAGGCTTAGGTGATTTTGACTGAGTAAGGCCGGGGGCCTGTGTTGTGAGGATATCTTTTGGGTCGGGCTGCACGCCGCAGCGGTGATACACTGATTTTGATTATGAGGCCGAGGGCCTGAGATTGTACGCCACGAGGTGGCTTGATATTGATATGAGGTCGAGAGCCTGTTTGTGATGCCACGAGATGGCTTGATATTGCGCTTGGGCCGTAAGGG